CAACAACATAATATTATATTCTAATAAATATATTATATTAATTAATAGTATTTTATAATATTATATTAATAATGATTAATATGTTATATTAATTATAATATGTTAAATATTATATTATTAAGCTCAAAACATCTCCAAGAACTCAAAACACCAGATAAGTGTTTTATTTTTTATTTTTACACATAAGTGTTTTTTTTTCCCCCATGAGAACTCAATAGTTTCCAAACATGTTGTGTTTTTGTTATGGCAAAACCACAATGGAAACAAAAAAACACCACGGTTGTCAAACGCTCTAAGTTATACATTACATTGTTATTCATAGTTGAATCCCTACATCCATGATGTAAGCAAATACTTGTTCATCTTTACATATCCACTTTCAAAATAGTGAAAAATGTGTTTCTCTTTTCAAGTCATTATAAAATTCAAAATATTAAGATATTGTCCATGAGGATTCATTACCATGACATATTTTCTTTCTGAATGTGTAAATTCTTCTGCTGTTTCTGATATTACTACACTAGCTTATAAAGACCTAGAAGGAAATATACTGTAAAAGAGTTATTCAGACAGTTGCTAGTGTATATAAAACAGACCATACAGCTTGCTTTCTAGGTATTTAACTGCTTTGCCAAGTTCTCAGGGCAACACAATGTAACATTAATTTTACCTGGAACTGTAACTTTTTGCAACATATTTCCCATGCTCCGCACTGATATGAATAATCCGACCATAAGGATCACTGGAATTTTCTGAAATGCCAGCCCACCACCCAACCTATAAGAGTTTGCATATAGAGGAACCTTTAGTTTTCAGCAGTAATAGAGTTTCGCCTGGAGAATTTATAACTTCCTGATCGTGTAAAACTGTGAGCTAGGAAATTTAAAGAGCAAAAAGTAAAACATATTACATAAACACACCATAAAGAAGAGTAAAAATACAGACTGATACATCAACTCAAGCACTTGTATGAATTTCAGTAATCTACAGAAGCTCTTCAGTTACAAACAGCCTTGATGAGTACCTCAACTAAATTGACCACCCCTCACAATGCAAATTGACAATAGTTATCTTTACAAAATCAATTTTTCCTTCGAAGGATTAAATAAGGATACCATCTCAAAAGCAAGTAACATTCCCCACTTACCTATACCAAGTCCAGGTTACCTCTCTCAGAAATCTAGCTTCAAATTATCTAAGCTAATAATGTTTGATATTTGGTACAAAGAGTTTGGTGCCTTCCAGTGGACCATGTCAATGTTGTACGCTTGCCCCTCTCATCTCTACACAGAGGTCCCACAGTTAATGATGATGGTGATGATGACAAAAGCTAATCTTTCTATCTTTCTATATACAAATTTTAATGCTGCCAATAATTCAAATTGACCAGGCTATTCCTCAAGAAGTTTCCCTACTATTAATTAGGGTATTAAATTAATTCTCCATCCAGAAAAAGCAGGCATTTAAAGTGGTCATGTCCATCACATAGACAGTACCAAACATGATGCATTTATAAGACATGTGCAACATATGTCAGACATCCACAAGATACTTTCTGAATAAGCAAATGAAAAATAAAAAGTAAAAAAGAAGTGCTTGACATCACGGTGAAACATGGCAAATCACACTTGTGTGCCAAAATTGATCAGATCATACAGGCATTAGCATATTTTCAATATCAAAAGGTTTGATCACTCATATTCTAATGTGTTTAAGATAATGTTTGTTTATTGGCATCATTTTCATATTCAAAGAAAATACAAGTTCTCAATTATATCATAAATCATGTAAATGAGATTTTATGTACTGGTGTATATCTTCCTCTATTTTTGTCCTCAATTTTCAGGTTCCATCATGTCACTTCCCTACCTTATTGTGTATGGGTAAAATTACACGGCACTTTACATGAGTCCAGCATCATAAATTTTATTCTCTATAATGTACCAATATTTATTTATGGATGAAGAATACACAAGTATAACAAGGTCTAATTAGCAAGTGAGCTGGTTCATTTTGAATGAGGTTAAACTTTTCTGGATCTAACTGGATAAGGCATCAAGGATATTATGGTAATCAGTATCTCTTATTCAGAAGTACGGTCGAGAGATAATATTTATCCAGGTCTGACTCTCAATTCTAAACTAACAATGAGATGTAGACTTGGATCTGGAACTACACCCATGTTCACAGATCTAGATATCAGATAATGAAAACACCCAACTGTATTCCGGATCAAAAGCAAAACAACACATGGAATGTGTGGGATAGCTCCGTTTTTTCAATTGGAAATTCTGTTTCAAGTCACAGAAATTATTAGCAATAAAAGCATGCAACCACTGCGTCATGTTTTCAGATAGATGACAGCCAAAATGATGCACACCTAATCCAATTTTCTGCTAACTTGTCTATGAATGTACTCTGATTTAAAATGTGTAACACGCAATAATAATCAAATCCTCACAAGTTATACTGTCAATCCGACATAGTTGAAAGTATGTGATGTTTATGAACATTAACAATGCGTTATACTTAGAACATTAATTATACTTATGTTCAACATATACCAATCCCACACCACCATGGTCTCGAAGAAAAGCTGCATCTTTATAACGTTCTTCCTCCACAGCTCTCTGCAGCAATAAAAGATTTAAGGAAATTGTTAAGCAACACGACAAAATCTTGAAGACCCCAATCAAATTTGTTAATCCTTACATGCAGATCAGATAAAGCAATGCCCACAGCATCATTTTTTTCTGCACCAGAAATTGCCAACTTGAGCTTCACAGCATCAGCATAATCCTCTCTAGCAACAGCTTCTCTCAGTTGCATCTGAAACAATACAAATGATAATGATAGCTTATAAAAATGATGTCTTATAGAAACTAAAGGACAAAATGGTTACTAGTGTATTCCAAGGTATGTGATGCGTGCATGACACTGAACATAAAGGAATGGTGTAGCCGAATAGTCGAGGGAACAGATGCTTTAATACGTTTGCTTGGATTTTTCCCAATATGAGAGCATTTCCCTTAATTCTTTCAAGTATGAAGGTATTTCCATTGATTTTGAAACTGAGGGTATTTCTTTTTAGGGTTAATTTAAGAAAAAAACCCCTCAGTTATTTTATTTTTAGAAAATCTCCCTCAAATATGAGGGTGTTGTAGATAACGCCTCAACTTTCAAAATATGACTAAACCCCCCTTAACTATGGGGTGTATCACAAAACCCACTTTATCTTTCTAGTTTTTTCAAATAACCCCCTAATATTATTAATTTGAAATATGGAATGACTAAAATACCTTGGTTGAAAAAATTCATGTAAGTTTAAAACCCCAACTCAATCAAAATATCAGACTCTGGTTCGATGGGTTTTGATGAGAAAACTAATCTCCAAAAGAAATTTAAAAGTTTCAATTGTTTCAAACGTTACAAGCATGGATAAGCAGAAAATAAAAGAAATTTAGCAATTCAAAACAGAAAGAAAAAAAATTAGATTTGCATGTAAATCTAGCAATGAAGAAGGAGGAATAAGAAAGGGGGGGAATAAAATGAAAGTTATTTTTAACAAAAAAAAGTTAAAAAGGAACAATATGGGCAAAAAAAAGTTTAATGTCTTAGGGATAGTATGGTTATTTTAAATCATTTGTTCTTTTGGATTTAAATAACATTAGTCTAGGGAGTTAAGTGAGAAAAGTTGAGGGGGATAAATAATATTTTGAAAGTTGAGGGGGTTATCTAAAACAACTTCAAAATTGAGGGGGGTTTTTTAGAGTTAAAATAGCTGATGGGGGTTTTCTGAGATGACCCCATAGTTGAGGGGGGTTTCTAATATTAACCCTTCTTTTTATTTTTCCAAGTGTGAGGGCAAGTATGAGGACCTTTCCAGAATTTCTGCAAATGGGACATAGACAGGGAGAACACCAAGAGGGGGCTTTTCTTAGATATATAGTATAGATAATACTTAGTAGCACTATCATGACAGCATAAAATCTTCTATAAAGCGACACCTGATACAAATGAGAGGCCTACTCAAGCAAGCCCAAGTAACATTCGAAACATTAGAGATCTATGATGGCTAGCATTCTGCAAAATGCAGAAAACTATGAGGTTTACAATTAAAAGTGGCAAACAATTACTTTGAAAAGGTTTGCTTACAATTAATTTTGAGGCCACTCATGCCTTTAAGAGATTAAGAACAAAAACAATACGATTGGACTAAATCTAGCATTGGAAGCTCTAATGGACCAAATGAAACTTTTATTGTTTTTACAAGGTTTGTTACCTATATACACCTAAAATCAATCGTACTTGTAAATCTGGCCCCCAATATACTTACTAATTAGCCCCTCACTCAGAGATAGACCTTTCACTTATCCCAATATTTCTATTAAGGAATACTCACAATATATTCCCCTATATTTTGTTAGATAGATTTATAGCTTTAAGATATAACTAAAATAATCCAAAATACTTAATTAACTATCAACCCATCTTCCCAATAATTAATCCATCAACCTCTCTCTTTCTTTCTCTTTGTGTCCCTGTCTACTCTTTTCCTTTATGGATTTTTCAAATTTTTTAATGTGTTTTTTATTCGATACAAGATGAGAAATGAATAGGAATTTAACCCAATTCTGCTAGAAGTTTAATAGAACTTAAGTTGAGGGATAACGTACTAGATTTGGGATGAATTGAGGTCAAATTAACAAATTTAAAGATTGGAGGGGTAAATTAAAAAGTATTAGACTTGTTGTAAGTTAATTAAAAATGAGCCTCTCGACCTCTCTTCATTTAGTATTTCCTAGCACTTATCCCATTCTATAATCGATACCTACCAAACCCCCCTCCCCAGTCATTTGCATTCTGATCTCAGCTGCTTGACTCTCTCTGTCTCTGCTTGTCCTCCTTCACTCATTTTCTTGCATTTCTTCTAACTTCCTTACCAATATTTTACAAATCTCAAAAGGACAACAAGATCTCAGACCTTTTGAGATAGTAAAGATTCAAACATTATGGTTCCAAATCCACCGACCTGACGAAACCCCAAACATAGATCTTCAAACTACATATTCATAATATTAAGGGTTATTTGCACTTTAATACCCCAAAGTTTCACCCTTTTTTGATGTTGATACTCTGAATTTCTATTTTGGCAATTCCCCAAATTGCAAAGATGTTAATGTTGTTCAACAATATCAACATAGAAAATGAGAACAAATTTTTCTTATCGCATTTTAATTCTTTTGAGTTCGGGGGAAGTTAGGAACAAAGTTCGGCTTTGGGGTATCAATTTGTCAAATTAACATCAATTTCAAAATTTGGAGTATCAAATTACCAAAATAAAACTCCGTGGTATCAATTATCAAAGTTAAAAATGAATAAAACTTTAGGGCATTAAAGTGCAAATACCTTAATATTAATTCTGAAACGAGAGTTCATCTATTGAACAGAATACTACACCACTCTCTTGTTTCCGATAAAATTCTCAAGCGTCAGCAGCATTTATGCTTCCTCCCTCAGCGGGTGGCTTTAAAAAAAATTCCCCGATAGAAATACTCAGCTCCGACGAGTTTTTTTATGGTTTAAGTCATCAAACAGCATAAAGGTACACATATTCACTATATACCAACCACATCTCCAACATCAACTTGAAAACGAAACCCTAACACAAAATCAAAGTGCCCTAAATGAAGAAATAAAAATAGAAAAGATTACCTTAAGCACAGCAACAATCCTCTCTTGCTCCTCCATCTCAGCAAAATGCCGCTTCCACCGCTCCCAATCCCAATCCCCTTCGGCCTCTCCTTCTTCCTCTTCTTTAGACTCAACAGCTTTCTCCGATCCCAAATCTTTGGAGTCTATCAACTGAGAACTCCTGTAGGTTTTCACATAATCATCCCACCTCTTCACCGCTCTCGACACCATGTCCTGTATCACCTCGTCCCATCGCTTCTCGCCGGGAGGCCGGAGTTCGAAAGGAATGGTGGAGACCTGTACCGTAGTCTGCTAGGGTTACGGTTTGGGCTCAGAGGAGAGGAGAGGCGAAGAGCAATAGAAGCCATGATGAGAGAGAGAGTGGAGGAGAGAGAAAGAGAGAGATGGGTAATGATACTTTAAAATGAGGAGAAAATAAAAAGATAAGATGTTGGATAATAACTAGGATTCAATTGGTTTTGGATTTTTGAGGGGAGAGGAGGTAGTGACAATGTGGCCCGAAAAGGGGCGAGGTCCACAGCAAGGAGCAGAAGGGAAGTCCACAAATTCAGAAGTTAATATCTAGAAAATTTTTTTTTTTTTTTTTTTT